ACAGTGTGATACCAGCATGATCATCTTCAGAGACATGATGTCGGCTTCTCACAATAAGACTAAATGGGTGAATGCTTCCCTCTGCTGGACATTTACAGCACACTACAACTGATATTTTGACAGTAGCTGTCTAACAAGCACTTATACTGTAAGCGTATGATTTGATCTAATTAAACACTCAAATCAGCAGGCAATGTGAAAAGAATGAACTTACCAATACAGAAGAAAGCGATGAAAGAGAGACTGTAAGATTATAATGGGCAGGACATGAATAATTAATGGATGAGCCTGATCTGATCATCCTGCAGTCTATTATACACACCCAACCATGGTTCAGAGCACACACAGACATACATACAACAAAGCAAATGTAACTTGTATGTCTCTCCAAGGCAATAAAAGCCAGGCACCTAAGCTCACTGATTTGACTCTGCAACCAATCAAAATTTAAACATGCCAGCTTTGGACAAAGAAAGGACAGCCCAGTAAGTAAAAGTGTGGTCTGCCCAACATGTTGGGCTTCGTAGATGTTGTAGGGTTTAAAAGACACCATATAATGGCAGCTGAGATGAGGAAACAGTCAAAATCCAGATTACATTTATATTCTGTGTTTCCTTTATGTCTAATGTCTGGCTCAATTAGATATTTGTTGAAATTGTATAGGTTTAATTTTTAGTAATATTAGGGGTGGGGGCAAAAAATTAATATAGCATAGTATCGCAATATTTTGTGTGGCGAAATTGTATTGATACATACACCAAGGACTTGGATATGATGCATGCAATTTGCAGGCAGTGTCATATGAGAATAAAATACTCTGGGAATACTATGAACATGAGGGCTCACCTCACACGCCATCATTCAGATGTAGCATAAGCCACTGACAGCCAAGCTAACGCTAAACCTGCTCCACCGAAAAATCAACCAACATCATAATAATATTATTACTAAAATTAATGATATTGTAGCTATTGTCATTACTGCATGCCCTGCTTCTCTCTCTGTCTCTGTCTCTGTAGGTCTCTCTCCATCTCAATTTCCCTCTCCATCTTTCCCTCTTTTTATGTATCACTTTGGGATATGGATTACTTTAAATGTATTATTTATGATAAATTGTGATATTGGGCTTTATAAATAAAATTGAATTGAACATAAAACAAACTATCTAAGAATCCATCACAGTGGGCTTAATTGTCCAAGAGGCTTTTTTGTAGAGCACACTAAGCTGGATATGTGTGGCAAATTTCAAGTCAAAAGGGCATGGCCTTTTCAAAATTGCGTTTTGGCACATTAATTACAACGCCACCATGTAACCGAATGAATTAATATTTCCTGGGAAGCATCTGCACATCATTTCCAGTTATTAGTAAAGTATCATGTTTCATAAACCAGCACAAACTCAATAGGGGTCTGCACCTTCAGGACTTGAACCCTGATTACTGCATTCTGTTGTATACACAATACATATAGAGTTAGATTTGTGTCTTTATTACATGCGAGAAAATAAATGATATGAGAGAAAAAAAAATGTTTGAGAGAAAAAATATTTGAGAGAAAAAGTTTTCACCCTGATAGCAAAAAATAATATTTGATACTAAAAAAAGGTTTGAGAGAAAGTATTTTGTCATAGAATATAAAAAAAATAATCTGAGATTTAAAAAATGATTTCCGAGAAAAAAACTCTCTCTCCAAAAAGTATTTTTTACTCTCAAATATTATTTTTTTTGCTATCAGTGTGAAAACATTTTCTCTCCAAAAAAAAATGTTTCTCTCAAAACATTTTTCTTCTCTCTCTCTCTCTCAAAACCATTGTCAACCAAAGTCATTGCTCGTGTGTCAGGATTTTGCTTTCGCTGTGACAATAATGTCATGGACGGTCGAATTCAACTGAATCATTTATCTGCCATGGTCAATTCACCGGCATAGATGCGCTGCGTTATTTGGGAGTGGAGACTCCAATGTTTGGGTAAGATGATGACACACACAACTCCATGGGTAGCTAGCTGAGCAAGTTGGTTATCAAAATCATTCCTATAATGAATCCCTTTTCTCACCTAACGTTATTTTACCGAGATTGTGTTATTAACTGCACTAGCCAGCTAGTGTTAACTTTACATCTAGCTAGCTACCGTAAACCAGGTTATCCCATTAACGCATTAATGTTACTTTACTACAGTGCTTTTCTCTTCCAACATTCCATGTGTGGCAGGGTGAGCGCTGCTACACCTCCGCCCTTAATTGGCATCAGCTGGGCCTAATTTCCAGCTGTTGGAGCCTAATTGTGCAGTGGTGGCATCTGCGTTATTTGGTCTTCCCCTCACAGGCGCGCTCACTTCTGCCTGGCATTTACCTGGCGAGGGCTGTGTGTGGCGCGCTCCGGTTGGCCTGCTTTGTGTGTGGCGTGCTCCAGTTTCTGTACTCAAACTTGGGACTCATAAGGTAGGCATGGGTGCTGCAATGTTTGTGTACTGTTAAAGTGTATTATGGTATCACAGCTGCCATGACTCTTTGCTTTACAGCGGTGTTGGCCATTCCTGTTGTGTGCAGCTTCAGAGGGGACTTTGAAATGCATGGTGTCTGCTCTTCCTCACTGCGAGACGGTGACTGGGTTTGAGCTGTGCGCTGTGCGTTAAGCTCCCTTTGCTCCGGTAAGCTCGCTCTGTTTTTTTATTTCTACTTCTGCTAGTTCTGTTAACTTTATGTTAACAGGTTGTCCTGCTCTCTGTCCTGCTTTAGCTGAGGCCACAGCTTGTGGCTTCTTCTCCTCCTCTGCGCTCTGTGTGGGGCTGCACTCCGCAGCCCGGTGACGTGGGCCGTCAGCTGGGCATCCCGAAGGACGGCTATTTATGGCCTCCTGCCGGTTTTCCACAGACTAGTTAAAGCACACTGTAATGCAGCGCTACATTCATGCGGCTTTGGACCTCCGTGTTGTTATATTTGGAAGTCCATCTTCTGTCCCCATATTTACTGGTGTACGAGTCTGTGTGACCTTCTGTTGTTAAAGGGATAGTGCACCCAAAAATGAAAATTCAGCCATTATCTACTCACCCATATGCCGACGGAGGCCCTGGTGAAGTTTTAGAGTCCTCACATCCCTTGCGGAGTTCGGTGGGGGCAGCGGCTAGCACACCTAATGGCAGACAGCGCCCCAGACTAACGTCCAAGAACACAAAATTGAATCCACAAAGTATCTCCATACTGCTCATCCATAGTGATCCAAGTGTGCTGCAGCCCCAACATAAAAAGTTGTTTCGAAAAATGTCACATGAACTCTGTTTTTAGCCTCACTGTAGCCTGTAGCTCTGACTGCTTCTCTGTGCTCCACGCGACCAGCGAAAGCATGAGCTTTGCTTACCCGGGAGACAGCAGTAACCACAGAGCTAAAAGATAATTTGCACTACGGTCTTTTAGCAAAGGACAGCCCAACATGTCTGAAGACTCTGAAATTGAGGAGGAACAGCATTTCTTTGTTGAACTGTATTTGTTTGAGCCCGAGTATACGGACGTGGAACTCAGGCTACTGGACAAAGCAGCCGCCGCAGGTCATGAGCCTAACCCTCAGACAGCCGCAGAATACCGGAGTCGAGCACTGGAAACCTGGTGGTGTAGTTGTTTCAAATGCAAAGCAATGCCAATGGATGAGGAAAGTCTTTGCTGCTCAGACTGGGAATTGGCAATGCCTGCACTTGAGAATCTGGACATCAGTACTGACGAGACTGCTGCTCTTCAGAGACCGTGCATCACCGATCACCCTGAGTGCGCACACGTGAGCGCGGAGCACAGAGAAGCAGTCAGAGCTACAGGCTACAGTGAGGCTAAAAACAGAGTTCATGACGTTTTTCGAAACAACTTTTTATGTCGGGGCTGCAGCACACTTGGATCACTACAGATGAGCAGTGTGGAGATACTTTGATACTTTAAATTTTGTGTTCTTGGACGTTAGTCTGGGGTGCCGTCTGCCATTAGGTGTGCTAGCCGCTCCCCCCGCCGATCTCTGCAAGGGATGTGAGGACTCTAAAACTTCACCAGGGCCTCCATCGGCATATGGGTGAGTAGATAATGGCTGAATTTTCATTTTTGGGTGCACTATCCCTTTAAGAGTAGTCTACAAGTTTGAGTGTATTCCCTGGGGTGCAATTCCACAGGTGGTGTTGTCGGTTTATTTCCCTCTCCTCTCCATTTGGCCACACATGCATAATGTTAATGTGTGCATATCCACTCCCAAATAACGCAGCACATCTATGCCGGTGAATCCACCATGGTGGATGAATGATTCAGTTGAATTCGACTCCCAAGATGATCCTCACCCAGCTGTCAAATCAATTGAGACTGGCCAATAGGAACGTGGCCCCGCCCATGACATTATTTTCACAGCGAAAGCAAAAGTCTGACACGAGAGCAAAGACTTAAACTTTTTTTTTTAAACTTTTTTTTGAGAGAGAGAAAATGTTTTCACACTGATAGCAAAAAAATAGTATTTGGGAGTAAAACAAAGTTTTTTGAGTTTTTCTTTCTCGGAAATCATTTTTTAAATCTCAAATTATTATTTTTTTAGATTCTATGACAAAATACTTTCTCTCAAAACTTTTTTTAGTCTCAAATATTATTATTTATTGCTATCAGTGTGAAAACTTTTTCTCTCAAATATTTTTTTTCTCTCAAACATTTTTTTTTCTCTCATATCATTTATTTTCTCACATGTAATAAAGACACATATCTAACTCTATAAATACACAGCTTCCCCACTTTTTTGGAATCAGGGTTGTAGCATTGTCATGGGGGATTGTAAAAGGGACTTCACAAACAACTGGTACAAAATTAGAAGCACACTATCATCTAAAATATCACTTTAGCATTAAATTTTACCAAACTGGAACAGAGGAGTCTGGCCCTAACAGGAAAAACAGCCCCAAACCAAAAACACAAACAGGTACTGAATTCCATTACTGGGTGCTTACATAGATTAGGTGTGTGTGGAAGTTCATAAAAAAGAGTCTCACCTGCTACATTCAATGAGGGTGACTTTGAGTCGACCTTCCACCAGTCTGCTGTCTTGGATTGACAGCTCCAAATCACAAGTCGAACCCAGCAGAGGCTGCACTTGGAACGGGAAGAAGGGCTTGTACCTGTAGAGAGAAACAGAAAACATCAAAGGTTAGGGATGGATAATATTGGATTTTTTGCCGATATATGCTGATATATAATAACTTATTCTGTCAATAACCAATACCGATATTGATATATCCACTTTTTCCCCATCTACTTTTAGGGATCATCAGGGCTCTTCTGTAGTGGAATTAACATCATATTATGCATGCATACTCTTATCATCATGGCCCACAAGCAGATGGAGTCATATAATACAATACTTTTCAATGTATGTAAGACTCATTCATTACATTCACTATGCGAAGTAAGAAAAAGCGCATTGGCTGATTCTCATAGTTCATTTTAAAGCCAATATTGGCCGATATCGATGATGTGCTGATATTATCATGCATCCCGACCCAATGTCCACTTCAACTCAGAATCTCGGAAGTGATGTAAACTACCTGACTCAGTTTCAGATTCATACTTCACTGGGCATCAGATATAATCACTGAATAATCAACTAAGACAACTGCACCCACTCAAATGAGCCTCACAACTTCCTTTTGGAAGGAATTCACACTTTGATATTACCTTAAATACAAGCAGTTAAACGTTGGCTTTCAGTGAACTAATTAATCAGATGTGAAAAACCGGTCCACCAACTCTGAATGGTGTGAACTGAAACAAAGCATGGAATGCATCAGCATTGGTTTGGATTGTGTGTGAAGAATGTAACCAGCAGGCCAGGTCACAGTGAATGCTGGCCACAATGTGTTAACTATTGGGTGTGGTGTTTGGTGGTGAACTATATATATATAT